TTAGTTACTGACTTTTAGAAATTTGACATCCAAGTATATTGAATTTTGAATTGTATTTAGTTTGGTCATGCATGTTTTCTTCTGGCTCGCGAACAAATCCGAAATGGTCACTACATGAGTGCTGTACGACTAGCCAAACGCATCCTACGTTTGGCTAAAGCTACTTCAGATCATCGCCTCGAAAGATCTGGTCTGCAACTGATGGCAACAATTTACGAAAAACAAAGAGATACAAAGTCAGCCAAAGCCTTGCTGAAGAAGTTGCTAGAAGTTCCAGGAGCGACAGTACAGGAATATGTGACTGCTCTACTCCAACTGAGCTCCCTGGCACCACATAATGGTGATGATCCCGTGAAGTACCTCACTAAAGCTTTGGATCAAGCTAGAACTTCTGGCAATCTTGATGCGATAGTTCTGACGCAGTCGGCAATGCTACGGCATTATATGAGCCCCGAAGTGGATAGCGACGAGCACTGCATAACTGAACTTTTATCTTCGCAGAAAGAACTGCTAAAAGATAATATCAGTAAGTCATCTTCTAACTTTAAAACTATCAATTTTACCCAAACCTTGTTTAGGTGTTGCGTCCAGATCAATAATATTTGAAGATTTGGCTATATGTGAAGAAGGAGAGACCAGTGGCTCGAATGAGCTGCGCGCATTAGAGCAAAGTCTTACCGAGGTTACCAGATTTTCTCTTTCTGACTATTCAACCAACATTGTCAATAAGGCTAATTTTTGAATGAAACATGCTTTCTTATTCCTCCGCTTTTTCTGCAACAACTGAGTGCTTTAGTGGCGCAATTAAATTATATACTCTTTTAAAATATAGCTGAAATTGCTTGAAGTGATGTAACGTATTTCTTGACTCTTATTTTGCACCAGTTTATGTTTAAGTGAGTTGAAAGCTGAGAAAATTTTGAAATGTAGTAGACAGTTTGTATACCTTATGAGGCTTACAAGTTACTAGTACAAACAAATTGAAAATTATATTGGTAACATTATGAAGAAGATGCTTTAAAACAAGCTCATATTTTCTAATAGGAACAACTCAAGACAATGCTTCAATGCTTCTTAGCCTTCTGTAGCGAGTTTAACCCTATAGGGGACATTTGCTCAAGGTTTGTCTAAATCAGCTAAGGAGTTTGAGTCTGAGTCTAAGTGTAGGTTATTATGAACGCTGCCAATAAGCACTACTGTGCGAGTTGCTTATAGATTCGCAGTTGTTTCGACCATAACTGGTACTCTTAGCCATTGAGAATAGAAACATCCACTCATTTTACCTTCTAAACTTTTGATATGGTGCTTCAAAGAACCTAACCCTTTTTGCTAAATACACATTTATTCCCCATGTTCGACTTTCGATGAATCTTGGCATCGTAATATTCTTCTTTTAGCGTTGAGCCGTAAGCCAAGAT